GCCTCCGCCCCCCCGCCTGGGCCTGCCACAGCGTGGTGGCTCGTCTCTGAATGGGGCGGTCTACGTGGAATGGAGCCCACGTTCAGAGATGTAATGGGTAAAACAAATAAAAACCCAGAGCATAACATCGTGAAATAATGTCGTGGTTCGGTATAGTATAATTGCCATTTTAATTTATATTATGTGAACTCCTGCCAGATATTTAGACTTTGCTTTGCTTTTTTTTTTTTAAACTCTTATTTCCGTTACAGCATTTTTCAGAAATGCATATTTTGGTCACTCTTTTTAAAGTTCTGTGCACATTGATCATTTCTGTTCTTTCAGTTTTTGTGGACATAAGCTTTATGTTTTACACCAGAAAAGGTATTTATTTTTTACATTTTCTCTCTGGTATATCTCCTCCTTTTGGATGATGTGTATGCAAATCTTAATTAATTACCACTCCACTTTCTCTCTCACTTAAGCACTTTAAAATTGCCTCTACTTCCCCCCTCTGTGGAGAGGTGATCTTGTGCATGCTGACATGTTAAGAGAGGCTACTGCACACGGGCATTAATGATCTCCCATTTCTGATGACCATTTCTTTTGTATTATTAATCTTACTGGGGTTTAAGCTGTCCTTTCCCTTGAATCCAGATCAGGTGCCGGTGTGTGTTGTGCCTCCCCCTCCCCAGGCTGCCCGTGGTGGCAGTAAGCTCACTGCCTTCTCCTTTCTTGTACGGACAGGTTCAAATCGTTTACAAGCCAGTTGACTTGAGCCATGTGACATCCAAATGTGGTTCCCTGGGCAACATCCATCACAAACCAGGTACCCTTGGGAGCTCACAGGCTGCGTCGTGGTGTGCAGCTGGGGACAGGGAGCGGGTTGGGGTAGTGCAGGGAGTGAGGGGAGGCGTGTGGGACGGTGACTGAAGCATCAGAGTGAGCTCTGGGGTGCTGGATGCTATCACCAGCTCTGTCGTTGCAAGACCCTCTGCAGTCTGCCTGACCATTCTGGTATTAGGGGAGGGGTCTGGTCTGGTCCCCTGGACACCCTTGTCTGTGCCAACACATTGCTGTGAGTGGGAGGTATTTAGGAATAAATAGGGGGAACTGCTGGTGTTTAGGGCAGTAAGGTTAGCTCCCTTCCCTTGGCTCTGTAAAACATTGGGGCGTTATCAGCTCTGCAGCATCCTTTGGAAAGTCTCTTTACCCTGGTTCGCACTTGCCAATGGCTCCTGGGTTTCCCAAATCACCATGGGGTCCCTCTTTTGCCTGATCCTCACCCTCTGCTCAGCCTCAGCAGTGCTTTGGCTGAGCCACCTCGGAGCTCGGACCTGAGCACTTTCCCTCCAGCCTGCCGTGGCTGGCACAGGAGCCAACCCCACGCCTGTTCTTCTCTTCTAGGCGGTGGCCAGGTGGAGGTGAAATCTGAGAAACTGGACTTCAAAGATAAGGTGCAATCGAAAATCGGGTCCTTAGATAACATCAGCCACGTCCCTGGAGGAGGAAATAAAAAGGTAAAGGGGCCCTGGGGCGAGGGCAGTCATGCTGTTCTGCTGCCAGTGTCTGCACTGCGAGCAGGCATGCAGGCGAAGAGTGGTTGAAGTCTGGACATGGAGGAGGTTCTGCTCACCCAGCTCGTCTTTAGCCCACGTGGCCTCTCCTCTCTGCTTACCAGGCAGCACTTCTTCCCAGTGCTTGAAACGACTTGCTGCCCATGTTCTATCATGGGGTGGTCTGTGCACACTTGTCCTTCAGAGGACAAAAAGTGCCCTGCCCGGGGCCAGGCTGCTCAGCCGCTTCCCAAACAGCCGGCTCGTCTTCCTGCCAGCGGCCTGCTGCAGGCGGGCAGAGCCGAAGGGCCCCTGGGCTGCATTTGCCAACCTGGAGGACATTTGCTGGAGCACAGTTGTGGCAGAGCTGTGAGGATGGCAGTCTCTGTCCTCTGCCTGGCCCACGGCCACCCGAACGAGTGTGAATGTAAGTGATACCCTCTCCTGTGGTTTCCTGCTCTTCCTGCCGCTCTCTGAAGTTTGTGCAGAAACATGTTTGTGGCACAAACCTTTCACGTTAAGGGGCGCTGCCATCAGCGACTGCTTTTGCACTCTGCATTGCCAGCAGCGTGGCACAAAGCGGGCAGCTCAGGGTGCTGCGCAGGTGTTGGTTCCCCGGTGAAAGTGGAGTGTTAAAGGCTTGCCTTTATTTCAAAAAGGTGACACTGCAGTAGGCCATCACTGCAGAAGAAAGGTGAGCTCTTCTTACTTCAGGTCTCAGTCTTTCAGCTGAGACTGACTTGAGGACCCTGTGAGGGGAGTGGCACGCATTTGGGGGGATCTACATTGCAAGACAAAAGCCAATCAGGTCAGGTGAAATACGGAACTTGGGGTGAGCCAGCCCTGCCAGAGGTTTTGATGGTTACTTCACCGGAAGCCTTAGCTAAGTAGAACACCTCTACAACTTTGCTTCAGGGATGGCCAAGTCCCGTGCAGGCAGGGGAGCAGGGAGAGCAGGTAAGCACAGAGTCCAGACTCCAGCCTGGCGGTACGCACGGTTGAATTTCTCCAAGGAAAAATGGGGTTTATGTTGCTTGTTTTTCAAACGCTTTTTTCTCAGTGGGAGGGGAAAGCTCTGTTTCGGCTCCTGCGTTTTGGCACTTTGTTCTTGGCCGTGTTTTCTCTGTGGGCCTCCCAGCTCTTCATCTCCCCAGAGTGTACTGGCCTCTGACCGAGGGATCGCTTGACTTCCTTACCCTTCTCTCGCTGCTGCTACGCATCAGACTGCCCTGTGCTGCACTAAGCCTGTTTTCATCGTTTTTATTATTACAATGATGATTCTTTCATATCCTGGCATGTTCACTGAGCCATAGTTTGAAGAACTCGCCCTTTGAAGGGGGAGTTTATTTGCAAGGGTGTGGCCTAGCAGTGGCATCGCCTGCCTCAGCCTTCCTGCGTGGCAGTTGCCCATATCCTGCCTAAATCCACACCTGGAGGAGGTTGTTGGTGTGATTTGAGTTCAGACGCTGCTGCGGTTTGCTTCCCTTGTCCAGCCCATTCCCATTCCCACCTTAGCACCGGGGACCATCCTCAGGCGGTGCTGCTCTGAGGTGGGACACTCTATTTGTAGGGAGGGGACAGGACACAGTTGCGTCCCATCAGCCCTCCACGTAGGGCAGCTGTGGGCAGCTCTGCTGCCCCTTCCCCAGCCTTTCCCGTGTCCCCAGTCCCCTCCTTGCTCTGTGGCACAAAAGATCCAGATTTGGGGACACAATCCACAGCTCTCCAGGCTGAACACTGGTTCCTGTGCCACTCTTGTGTTGGGTCTCCCGTGGGGAGCCAGGGTGCTCTGTGCCAGCAGCATCTGCTCTCCTTTGCTGCACGTGGAAAGCTTTCCTCCCTGTTTCCAAAGGCAGCCGCTGTTCTTCCTATGAGCCAGTGAATGGCCCTGTTTTTCAGATCTTTTTCTCCCCGATTTTCTACTTCTTTTCTTTATTTTTTTGTCTTTTTCCTTCTGGTTGACATTTATTGGATCTTGTTTTTTGTTGCTGATGCGTTTTTTGCACCCCACCGCCCTGGGCGGGTTTCTTCACTTGTAGAGAGAGAAAGGCAAGGAAGACAAGACCCGTCCCCAGGCGGCTCAGACCCCAAGCCCAGACCCTGCTGGGCTCCAGGCCCCCCCGGAGAGCCAGCTCCCAGCCTTGCCCTCGGCTGGGCAGGGCACCAGTAAGTAGCAACCCTCATCCACTTCACCTCCCCTCCCTGGCCCTCGCCAGGAGACGGGGCTTTGGCTCGTGGGAGCAGCTGGGCCATGGGTTAAGGGGAAGTCTCACGTGCCATGTGGGGATCCCACCCCCTCCGTAAACCTTCGGCAGGGGAGTGGGAGCAGGTTGTGCCATCTGAGTCCTGTGCCTGGGACCCAGCGCCACACCGGGCCTGGGCGCTTGGGAAGGATTTGGCGGCATCCCAAGATGCTCCAGTCCTGCCATCGCCTCTGGTTGTGCCCATTCCCTTTGCGGGCTACTGGAAGGGACGTGCCTGTGGACTGGGGGCATCGTGCCAGTGAACTGAGCTTTCCTCCCAGCTGCACAACGGCAGTGACTGAGCGGACAATGTGCAGGTAAAAACGGCCTCTCCGGATGGTGTCCACCCCGCTCATCGCCTTCTCCTCTCGTTGCAGATTGAGACTCATAAGCTGACTTTCCGCGAGAACGCCAAAGCCAAGACTGACCATGGCGCTGAAATCGTCTACAAGTCCCCCACCATCTCCGGAGATGCCTCCCCACGCCGCCTTAGCAATGTCTCCTCCACCGGCAGCATCAATATGGTGGACTCCCCCCAGCTCGCCACGCTAGCTGACGAAGTGTCTGCTTCGCTGGCCAAGCAGGGCTTGTGATCGGGGCACGGCAGGCGAAGATGAGAGAACACAAGGAAAAAAAAAAAGAAAAGAAACAAAAATAATAATCTGGCCTTCTTCCTCTGTTCCTTTTGCAGCTGCTTTCCCATCCCCTAACTGGTTAATGATTTAACCTGCTTTTACTGTTCATTCAGCTCTAGCTCCAGGACTTCAAAATCAGTGACACTATGAGGTACAAAACCTCCTCTCCCCCTGCTCCTCGGAGCGCACAGCCCATGCCAGTCCCTTCCCACTCCCTCCCCTCGTCCCCCCGTGAGATCCCTCACTGTCTCGGCCCTGCCTGGGGCCACCGGCCCTGGTAGGGGTGCCCACTGCCCCGGGGAAGCGGGGAGGGGGACAGAGGGGGCAGCCGCAGCACGGCGCTGACCCGAGCACCCCCCAGCACAGCACAGGGCAGCGGGAGGGCTTCACGGGAAGGGGATGTGCCCTTCCCACGCTGGTTACCCTGGCGGTGCCTGGGCTGGAGGTCTGGCGTGCAGGCAGCACGGGTAGTGGGTGCTGCAGCCAGGGACTGCAGGGAGGTGCCCTCCCTTTCTGCGTTAAATTTGCCTGCTGATTTGGAAGAAACCTTTTGTTTTTAACCTCCGAAAGCAGAGATGTGTATGAGGATAACGGCCAGGTATCCCCTAAACCCACTCTCAGCTCCGGCAGCTGGAGTCCTGGCAACATCAGGGTGTCCCATTGTGGAAGGGGCCCTGGACGGCTGTCCCCCCACCCCCCCCGTGGCTGTGCTGGATCTGCTGAGTGGATGAGTAGAGGCTTTTCCCCATTCCTTTGGCAGCCCCTCGTGTCGTAGAGTAGATTTGTCTGTATATGCTTGGAACGTGCCAGGGTGATTGTTTTCATAAACGAGCATGTGTTTAAAAAAAAAATAAAATGCTGTAAGTAGTTTTGAGGTGCCCCACGCCGGCTTTGCCACAGCCCAGGGAGGGGGGGCAAGGGGCAGCTTTGCTGAGCTCTGGATTGTGCCCCGGCCCAGCACTGCTGGGGCAGCCTGGCACCGCATGGCTGCTGGCTGCGTGGGTGGGCACAGAGCCACAGCCCTGCACCCTGGGGGGCTGATGGGGGCTGCCAGGCTCTGTGCACCTCCACTGTACGAGGGGCGCTCAGCCCCGGGGCTGGGACAGCCCCTGGATTTGGATGCAGCTGGTAACATTTTTGGGCTGTTCTTTTTTTTCCCCTCCTCCTGCAAGGTCAGCTAAGCGATCACGGCAGTGGCAGCTCCATGGTTCCGTGGGCTCGTGCTTTCGGCAGCGGTAGGAGCCAACCGGGAGGGCGCGAGGGGAGAGCACAGGGAGGTTTTTAGCTGGTGGGTGGTGGCAGGTCCTGTGCTGCGGAGCCGGGGCTGCTCGCTGTCTCTGAGCCCCCCAAACGCCAGGTTTGAGTTTGCAGCATGTTGCCACTCATGGTGTCTCCTCCACACAGCACTAATTAACCCCCCCGCACCACACAGGGGAACGAGCTGAGCAATTTGTATCTTTTGCTTTTGTTCCTGTGGCAACCTCGGGCGTGTAGAGGGTGGCCTGGGGCTGTGCTGCACCCGTGGCCGTCCCCACGTGCCCCTTCCTTCTACAACCAAAGAGGCCGAGATGCGATCAGTGCAGCTCAGTGTGCACCCCCTCCCCACCTCCCCCGAGGCACCAACTGAGCTGGGGGGTAGAGCTGGCAGTGAGGCCTGAGGGGTGCCTGGGGGGGGCCGCAGACCGAGCACCCCCAGGGCCATGTTGCATGGGGTGGGGTGGTGGTGGGGGAATGTTCTTGCTGGGCCGTGGGGTAGCAGTTGTCCTTGGGCTGGGGGCCGGGTGCCCCCGAGGCTGCATTCGTAGCTGTGACCTGGGGCAGGGCCGTGGCTCCTCGCTGCCA